AATGCCAAGACTGAGTACGCAAGACCAAGACTCGTCTTGGTCTTATATTTGGACAACTCTATCCGATGCTCACTTTTTTTTTTTTTTTGACCCCCTTCCTGGCATTTTTGCCATACGGGGTTTCAACAGTGCGTTGACACGTTGGGAATACGTACCGCTACTGTTGCCAATATTCTTAATACTAATGCTATTTATAATATCCGATGCCCACTGTCATTTCAAGTTGTTAGCTAAATATGAACCTTTTTTATATTTTTTAAACAGTGCATTCACAAACTTATACAATTACTTATCACCCGAATTCTACTAAAGCTCAACTTTACATGATTATTTCCTGTACAAGTGCCCTGTTGAAAAAAACAAAAAAATTATTGTTGACAGATAATTCGAATTTTTAACAGAAAAAAAAAACACTCAGCAAAACTATTGCTCAATAACAAAAGTTGAGATTAATAAGAGAAATAAAATAAAAATTCTCACATAGAGCCTTTCAACAGCCAACGATGGCCTAGCAATTTTCATAATAACCTCGAGGGACATAACAACGGGTTTATAAGAAATACGGTCACGGGCGGTTAAAAAGGAGGTGGATGTGATTCTTTATTTCCTGAATTAAAGGACTATATTAAAACCAATTGTTAAAATATTATTACCTAAACCGGACCTTTAATATAAAAACTCCATTCCTTCAAATAAAAAAGGTAATAAAAGCTAAATATGATCACTTAATAAAATAAAAGGAAAGATAATAATGGTCGTTAAAATATATGAATGCGATGGAAATGGATATAAACTGAGCTAGGCATTTTTTCTTTATGGCTTCCCCAGAGAAACTTTAAATTGGAATTTATAATACTGCTCCGCTGAGAGGCCGTCAGAGGAACAGCGTTATAGAGTTTCAGAAAATAAGTATCCCGTTACATTATCCTGTTACTTGAGAAACTAGGTCACACTTAGAGCCACAGGCAACTAACACCTCATACGATGTTATCCTCAATGTTATTGTTTTTATCTGACACATATAATCAACATCTGAGTGTGTAAAAGGGATTATTATGTTTTGCTGTGACAAATTGGGAGAAGTATGACAGCGACATATTAAGGAAGAAAGATAAAACAGCTATGGTATGGTCCAAGCAATTTTCAATAGATTGCTTGCCTGGAGGGATATCGATCAATCGAAACTTTATTTGTATTTGAGAAAACTGTCGATAAAAAAAGAGTTTCCATTTTATTTTTGACAAAATATAATTACAATGCTCCTCCGAGTTTCCAAAAGTCGATTAATTTAATGTAATCTCCATGAGTACGCCAATATTTGTTTGATTGTCACTTCGTCACTGGTCCCTGAATGATCGTTATATATTATATTTAGGTATAAGGTTGAGGTTTTACGAATTGAGGTGGGAACTAAATTCCTAAACGATTTTTCGAAAGAAGCGGTTCAATGAAAAGGGATACTCAAAATGAAGTTTTTGAAATACTTTATTTGACACTTGTCGATTTATCAACAACGCTGATATTTCTAAATTCTCTTGATTAACAAAAGGAATGAAATTCTCTATTTTGTCTTATTTAGTTCTAATAACTGGTGCTCCATCAATATTATATCAATATTCATAAAATATTAAGTATCAGGTAATTTTAGACTGCTCTATATTCTTTGAAGATCTGGATTTTTACCAATGACAGTCTTTTTATAATTTATATTATTTTATTTTCATCTTATACCCAAAGAAGGTTTGGTTTGTCTCTACACAATATTTATCTCTATAATTACAACGCGTCATTAATCAATAACATTAAATAATAATAATAAAAGGCTTAGCGAACCAGAAGGTTCGATGCCGACACCACCAATCGCTTAATACACCCCTCTCTCCACCGTTCGCCGTCCAGACCCAGTCCTTTTACAGCGGCTTTAATGCAATCTTCCCACCTTCGCTTCGGTCTACCCCTCGGACGTTTACCATTCGGTACAGCAAATATTGATCAATAATCAATAACATTAACAAGTTATATATGTTACAGTACCATATGTTTCCGATTTAGTCCAATCCAGATACCTACCCTTCCATAACAAACATAAAATTATTGAATTTTTAGGGATGAATTATGTAAATATAATAAATAAAATAATTTTGACAAATCTTTTTTTTTTTTAAATAAGATGATATAAGCATGAGATACGAGCAGAATTGACAAATCTGTTATTGATGTTATAAGTTATAAAAAGAAATGTAATGATAATATAAAAATACAAATAATAAAATGTTTTCTAATTTCTAGTCTAAAGATGGGAGGATTAAGTGATCCCCAAACGTCATAAAAATAAAAATAAAATATTCGGAGAGTAAAGCTGTACTTAGTTTTTATTAGTGTACCTCCCTTAGGGCTTATGAAAAAATGGTTACATATTTTTTAAAATATAAGTAGCGAAAAATCGCTAGTATCTGTAGTTTTTTTAATGTATTTACTTAATTTATAATGTTGCAGTATAAAAAAATACTACAATAATATTTTTTCCATAAAAGGAAATTCACTGATCATTGAAATAATTGGAAAAATTCTGATCCAATTTGTCAAAAGCAGCCTGAAAATAAAGTAACATTCCTCAAGATATCATTTTAAATGTCTGAGAAATAATAACGAACATGAGAATACAAAACCAATATTCTAAAATTTGCTGAAAACTTTTAATTTTTTATAATATATATATTTTTTTCGCATTTCTTTATAACTTTTTAGTGGCTGCAAATGAGAGGATTAACAAATAAGGAGTGATTTGGAAATGACAAGTAAACCTGATTAGTGTTTAAGACTGTTGTTGATGAAATCATAGGAGTAAACTTTTTCTGCGGCATTATTTGATTTCTTCATTTGTTTGGCTCAACAATCCTGTATTTATTATTTAATTATTTTAAACTAATATGATTAATCAATTATTATGAAAACAAAAACCAGATTGAATATATTATATAAGTGAAGTATTGTTTGTTGTTGCAGTGAACTTCGACCACTTCCAGATCCTGAGAGCTATCGGGAAAGGCAGCTTTGGTAAGGTGAGTGAACTTTTACTATCTAAGGGGATCACCCACTCTGCAAGGCGTTGAAATAAAGAGGACCATTTATCATTGCCTGCGAAACACCCCTTCTTATCTTATCCGGGTTAGAAGGGTATGAGCTCCCATTTCCCACTAGGATATTGTGATCTTTTTCGCGGGGAATATCGGGGTTTGGAATCTCCTACATAAACATTATCATCCTTTAAGTCCAACATGAATAATATTTCTGTCCCACATTACACATAGTCCGTGGTACAGATCCCTTTTTATCAAAATATTTTATTTACGAAAATATTCGGAATTGGGGCGTTTTCAATCTGGATGTCGGCAAACTGCGTCTATTTAATTAGGTACAATTAACTCGTAAATATGTTGAAAAAAAAAGGTTGCCATCAAAAATATTGAGCCGTTTTGCGTGAAGTACGACCCCAAATCGTTAAGATAACGAGATTATATAGGCCAAGCGACCCAATATTTTTTTAAGCCACCTTTTTTATGGATTTTGTTATCTTGCGATTAAAAAAGAAACCAAACGGCTATTTACGAATTTTTTGTACCTAATTAAATAGACAAAGTTTGCCGCTCTCTAGATTGAAAACGCCCCAATTCCGAGAATTTTCGTAAATAGAATATTTATAGGTTACGATGTGATGAAGTTATTTACGAAGTTTCGGGAGGATATTAATAATTTGATACAAAGGGGTCTATACCACGGACTATTAACTTGAGGTCAACAAAATGTATCAAACATATTTTTTGTTTATGAAGTTTGTTAATGGTAACTCTGTAACGAATACTAATAACATTTAACATTACGAAAGTTTATTATGATTCTTAAATGAGATGAGGAAGGTTTTAAATTTATTTTCTAAGGAATTTCGAACGAGTGTTCAAAAACCATTCTACTATAAATTATAATAAAAAATATACTCTAGGAAATAATTTTTTCTCAACATAATAAGACTAATAGGCTTAGTCAGGATCAATATAATGCGTTGAATTAGGCTGTTTGTCAGTACTTACATGAAACAAAAAGTAAAAAAAAAAAAGTTCCCTCCACTCAAAATTAAAGCCTCGCTTCGGCACCACAATCTTCCATTTACACTACGAACATAGACTTGTTTAATCTGTGAAGTCAAATATTTATTTTAAGTAAAGCTGTACTTAGTTTTTATTTATGTACCTCAGATAAAAGGTATCTTCCCTAGGACTTATGAATAAATGGTTACACATTTTTTAAAATATGAGTAGAGAAAAATCGCTAGTATTAATTTTTTTTTTGTTTTTTCTGCAACTGGTAAGACATAAATTTTAATTAATAAATGAAATATAAATGGTTTGCAATAATTTACTATTAACTATTATATTTTTGCTGAAAACACAGAAATAAAATCTTACATCTTCTATTTTTTTTTTTTTTTTTTTTTTTATAGAAAACTAATGGTAGTTCTCAGCTTATTTTATAACAAACCGAAACTTAATTAATATGAGCTTAGAGGTTACGAATACAGAATTTTTTTCTAAAAGTGTTGATTATATAGTTAAGTAGAAAATTAATAAAAAAAATGAAATCAAGATTCTAACAAAAATACAACCTGGCTTAGTTTAGGGTCCTCAAACTGCCGTAAGGTAGTAGCGGAGTTCATACCTACCCAAACACATTTCTGCAGACTGAACCAGCTCAGTGTATCCACCACGGAATCACCACAATGTAAATTTTACTTGCTGTCCCAAAGTTACATACGCAGTCTCAAAGTTTCCCAATCTTATGGCATTTTAATTAAATTATTTATTTTGGAGTGTTACTTTATTGAAAGTTCGGAAATACCACGATTGACTTCTAAATTTTTTCTTGTTCTTTTTGGAAGGTAGGCGGTTGCTCATTTAATTGTTTCATATCTTCTTCTTTTTCGAGTTACCTTTTTGTAAAATTCACTAAGATTTGATCCTTTCAAAGTATGGTAAGACCTCCAAAGGTGCAGGGTACTTTTTAAGTGTAGTAGGACCAGTATAGACTTTACCAGTGTTTTCGTCCCTCCATTCGCCACGAGGTAGATAAATATCCCTGGATGTTGCACCTTGTTCAAGTACAGGAGCTACCAACAAATCCTCCCCCAACAGAAACTCTAGAGGAAAAAATATTATAAACTAAATATTAAAATAGTTGCACAACGAAGCAATAATTGAAGGTATATGCAAGGTTGCTTGGATTGGTGACCAGTGTATGTGAGATTGTTACTTACCAGCTTTCTTTTGTGTTTATTATTGTTTCATGTTTTTCGTTCTTGTTCATTATGCCTTAGTTTCGTTCGTTTTGTTGTTTTTATGTACATTTTTTAGTTTTTGTGTTTTTATTTTAAAGTGTAAATAGACTTGAACTTGTAAGGTTTGGTTGAACTTGTGTTTTATAGGGCAAAGCAACTTATTCTTGATTTGCCTTGCGGTGCTTGGTAGTTATAAGGTAAGTACTGCTATATAAAAGTTTCCTATAGACCCATTTGCCTCCTCCCTATGATGAGCAAGGTCCTGGAGAACCTTATCATGACCAGTCTAGCACCAGTTCTTGCCAGAGCAAGTCATCCACGGCAATACGGCTCCACTAAGGGGAAGAGAACCGCTCATACCCTGTTGAGAATACGTGAAGACGTTGAACTGAGGACGGAGCGGTATGTCATGTTGATGCTATTTGACATATCCTCCGCCTTCGACAGCGTCTGGTGGCCTCTTGTGCTCCATCAGCTGCAGAAATATGATGCTCCCAGTAACTTATATGACTTGATAAGAAGCTACTTAGAGGATAGACGTGTACAATTTCGTGGCAGTTCTTATGAGACTGAAGCTTTCATAGAGAGGGGATGTCCTCAAGGATCGGTTCTTGGTCCAGCTTTATGGAAGCTCGTTTTTGATGAGTTGTCGGGAGTGTTAGAAGAACAGCGGTTCTCTCCCACTGGATACGTTGACGATTTGGCAGTAGTGGTGGCCTCCAATAGCATAGCCGGCTTAAGACAAGAAGCGGAACGATGTGCCAACTTGGTCAGAGAATGGTGCGAGAGGGAAAAGTTATCAATGGCCGCTTCAAAGACTCATACAATTGTCATGAAAGGGAAAACTGATAGGGCACACCCTATTAATATAACGATTCAAGGATCGAGAATACGTCCAAGTGAGGTGGTCACTTATCTAGGCGTAAGATTTGGGAAAAAATTCAACGTTACCTCTCACTTGGACTATCTTAGAAACAGGGTGGCCCTATCTTTGAACGGTCTCAGTCGGGTTGGGGGCGCTTTCTGGGGCCTCAGATACCCCGCAACCTTAACAATTTATAAGGGAGTGATTCTGGGTATCATGAAGTATGCGTCTCACATCTGGAACCAGAACCTCTCGCACCGACAGAAGAGTAAGTTGGCGACAATACAGCGAGAATCCTTGCAAATGGAAAAACATTATATGGGACGACACATTGGAGGAATGGAACCGGCGGTGGGTGATAACCCCCAAAGGACCTACCTTGAGGAAGTACTTCACCACCGTCTGGTCACGTTTAGAAGCAAGGTGGATCGTCCCGGACTATTGGCTCTTGAAATTTCTCACAGGCCATGGGGGCTATCGAGCAAAGCTTCATTGCCATCATGGGATGGACATCGACCCCCTATGCCCTAGCTGCGGTGTTCCGGAGACTGCTTAGCACATTATAGTGGACTGCACCGCCTTTGAAGAACTAAGGGCTAAGTTACTGAGGGAAACCGGTCTCTACTATCTCACAGAGAACGATTTTCCTCAGTTAGTCACTGCGGAAAACTACCCGTACTACAAAGATTTTGTGTACGGGTGGAAAGTCGCGGTGGGGCCAGCCCATTTTAATTTAAGAAGAGGAGGAAGAGGTACTATTTCATTGGCGTGAAACGGATGAGAAAAGCAACCATGAAGAAAGAGAGAAAAAAAATGAAGAAAGAGCAAAAGAACAAGATTTATTTGCAGCAGTGGGATGTTCAGCTGACCTGCCTAACATCTTATTATTGCAGACACCCGTATTGCCTACTAGGCACGGCAGGGTTGATAAATAAATCTTCTGCTTTTTCTTTCTTCTTCTTATTATTCTTCTTTATCCCATTTCGGGAAGTAATACGTGATGTTCAGTTTTCCTTGACCATCGTAAAAGATGTCCGGGGACCTCGCAGTTGATTTCTGATCAGGACCCAGCCGACTCCTACCGTCTTCGGCTCCATGCCAGTAATGGTAGCACTGCTGCCTGCTACCACGGCCTTCCGATCTAGATCCGTCATATTCAGTCGAGAGCAGGGTCACCTCGGCAGAATGAGGTTCTTCAGCGCGCACGGACGGTCTTGGCAGTAGCCTCCTCGACGTCTCCACTTACAGTTTCTCAGGTCTCTCGGCTACTCTCCTGATTTTGAGTGAGGACCAGTCTCTAGGTCTTCCCTAACTAAAGTTACAACCTTTCTTCAGCACCTTGACTCCACATATCTTCTTTTAATGAACGGGTCCTTTTACTTTATATAGTTCATCTTTAAACCAGCCCCATAAACAATAATCCAGTTCTGTGAGGTCTGGAGATCTTGGAGGCCAACTAATTGGACCTTTTTATCAGGATGTCTGTGTGTGTGGATATCCTTGCATATATTTTTCAATAGCAGCTGTAGCACTCCCATTGGAAAAAATATAAACAATCAACATATTTGCATATTCTCATTGTGAATAGGGATTTTTCATGGTTTTAGACTATAATAATACAAACGGAAATAATAATCCCGGCATACCCTTATTAAGTGATAAGAGAAAGAAAAATTACGTTCTTTGAAAATGGATTTATGATCTTATGCTATATTGAGGATCATAATTTTCCCAACAGTAAAGACAGTGTACTTTAGAACTATATCTTCTACCAAAAAAAAATTGTTCTGTCACCTTATAGAGAAGTGCAAGCCTAAGCAAAGAAAAGATAATTGCTGAACGTGGGGACCATGGTAGAGCTCCTAAATCGACTTAGGAGGACGAACAAGATTGATGTTAGGGATTAGTGATTGATGACATATGACCTTTAGGATAGACATTCGAGGCTAAGATAGGGCACATAAGTGCAAACCTACGTGTTTTGAATGGGACCAACGTCTCAGGTTATTTATAACGAACAATTTGTTCTCTCAGCTACTAAACATATCTTCGTGGAAGAATATAATCAATAGGGGCTGGAATCATAGTGATTGAGCCTTGAGATCGAGACGAATGAAAAGGATTTTGATAGATTTGATTTTATATCATTAAAAAAAATTAAAAGTAGAGAGGAAGTAATAATAAATTGTTTCTGAAATTCTTTCGAATTACTTGCACGCATTTTTAAATTTTATTCGTCCATAAAGGTAAGATTGTAACAATAAAAGTCCTGAATTTTCCTGATGCATATTTGCAAAGATATTTAGACATTAGATTACATGAATAAAAATATCATGTTACTAAAAATGGGAGAGGAGAGAGAAAACGGAGCTTCGTCATGAGGGTAAAGACCATAGAGTACAGAATTTTGACTTCAATTAAAACTAATTTTTTTCACATAATTATGGAATCCTAAACACAAAATTGTTTATAATTATTTTTAAAATACATTATTTTACTTTTGTCATATAACAAAATTCAAAGAAAATAGTAAGAACTGGCCAACACATATTATGTATTTTATTTTAAAAACTCATTTTATATTATTTTACTAATTACGGTGGAATCGCCCACAATACAATAAAAAATTATTCAAATGTCAAAGAAGTGGTTTTACATTTTACACTCGATATGACAGATACTAGAGATAGATAAAAAATAGAGTGAGTGATATCAGTGCAGTGAGTTTTGTCATCTAGTCGTATTTAAGTAAAACATTTAATTGTTGAGACATCGCCCACCGCATTGACTGCAGCTCATGAGCTTTCGGTGAGTCACGCGAAGTTCGTATATGACGCCAAAGTTGATTTAAACTGCTTCTATAAATAGCCTACTGTGGTCAGAGTCATTGCCTACAAAGAGGTTGGGCATAATAACACCAACCAAAGAGGTATTATCGGAGAAGTTAAAACTTATGTAATTTTTTTATTTATTTCAATTTGTCATTAATTTATTTTTTAGAAGAATTTTATTTGGTTTTGTTTATTTTTTTAAAATAAACAATATTAGTTTAATAATTCATTTATATGTATACTGTGAGATGTGAGTTCACATATCATTATTATGATTATTTGGATTTATGTAAAACTTTATTATTTAAAATGATTTCCTGTTTTCATTTAAAAAAAAATAATTCATTTAAAAAATAATTATTAGTTATTTTTATTTAAAAATCGAATTTATTTATTATATCTTATTTTTTTTATATAAGAAACTTTTTTGATTATTGAAAAATTGCAGTTTCAATCTTATATGAGTTCATTATTACTTAAATGTATTCGATATTTTTCCCATTAGAGTAGGCAATTATAGTATGGAGATTTCTTTAAATATATTTATACTTAAAATATAGATCCAAAGTTTAGTTTAAGATTAGTAAGAACATAAAATGTTTAAGTTATAGAGTTTACAAATTTATAGAATTCTCTCAGGCTATTGTTGTATAATGTGATTTTAAATTTAAAGTCCTTTGAATGAGAGTGACAAACAAGCGACTTGAAGACACGACAGCACCAGGATACATCTACCCTCGTATAAGGTATGTGGTCTTTGTGGTTGCTATTTCATATAACCTGCTTGTTTCCCCTCGGAGTAAACAGCAATATCACTGTATCTCGTCTCAAACGGAAAACATTTAGTTCCACTTTGATCATTGGTCTCAAGCCAACATCAGTTAAACCTCTTTTCCTTTGAGTAGAAATATCCTTTAGTATGAAGTAAAGGTTTTATAACTTAATTTAAAATCAAAGAAACGTTTCTAACTTTTTTCATTCGTCATAAAATAATATTGTTAAAATATAGAATTTACAAATTCTATTTCAGCGGTATTCTATTATTTAGAATTAGGTATCTCTATTATATGACATCATCTGTAAAATACTTGTAACCGCTGTAACTACGCATATATTTATTGATGATAATGTATATTTGTATATTAATTTGAAGAATTTTTCATAGTAATGATTGATAAGTATGCTGTATCTGTTGCAACCCAATATGAAAATAAAGTGATTCTCTCTCCTAATACTTTTTTTTTCTTTTCTTTTTTTTTTGTTTAAATATGACTTAATTTAATGTCAATGAAAATTATATATTCCGAATTATGGTATTGTTTTCATTGGCTGTGTTATCATGATTGGAAACCTCACTATGGACATAGAATTTGGGATTCTGTTCACACATGTTTTTAAATATATTTTTCCCAATAGTGATACTCTTTAGCACTGTGTATACACACTCATATTTTATTCAAATTTATTCAAACACACTTATTTTCTCATCCTGCGGCATTTTTTGGCTCTAGCATTATACCCTATGCATCAAAAAGAGCTAAAATTCAGTATGTATGATTATATTAAAGGCAAAACTATGCCATTAACTCTTGTATGAATTATGTCAAATTTAAAGATTTTTGAAGCAGTTTTTCTTGGTTTTAAAGTTTTTTTGTACTTATGCTTCATTTCTATATTGAGTTAGAGGGTTAAAAATTTGTTTTGTTAAAAATTTGACACCTTTTCATACATCAACTCAATTTATAAATTGAGTTGATGTATGAAAAGGTACTTTTGGGGTCTCAAATATTTTCTTCCATCTTCTCCTCCATTCATAGCACCGTATTTATGGCTTCTTCCATCTCTACCACATATCACAACTGGATTTGAGGGTTAAAAATTCTTGAGGGGGGATTTGAGGGGTCTTCATCAGGGATACAAAAGATACAAAATATAAAAGGTAAATGGTAAAAATAAATAAATAAGAAAAAATTGTCTGATAAAGGAATAATAATAATAATAAAACTGTTATTTATCAGACAACTGTTTCTTATTTAATATCTAATTATAATACATTTATTTTATTTTCGCCACTTACCTTTTATATTTTGTATCTAATAGGAATAGAAAAATTATCAAATTCGACGTTAATATCGTTGATTTAATAGAAAAATTGATTTTAATGCGTACGCTTTTGTGATCTTTGAAAATATTTATCGAAAAAGAAACAAACTTGGTACACCCAAATGACTCAAGCCTTTTTATTTTACAAATATAGTTCCAACACGTGCAGAATGTTGAGATTTCACATAGAAAAAATAATTCAAATTACTTTAGTGTTCTAATTTTATGAAATATTACTTAACGATTTTTGGCAATAAACCCAAAATATATTCCATCGGAGGTACCAGGATTTATACTAAAGTTTCAACTAAATCACTTTTCATCTGCTAGTCAATACATTTGTTCTTTAATTTTAGATGTAGTATTGTTACACCATTTTAGATATAATTTTACATTAACAAAAAAGGGAAAAAATTACCGATGTAATAAGTTTTGTATCAAAGGTTTTACGCCGTACATTTTGCTCTAAATAAGAAGTCTGATCCCCTTTCTTCATAGATTAAAATTAAGCTGACAAAATAATATTTAACAAGTTTCCTAAAGGAGACAGACTATATTGCAAGATGGGCTTTAACCCAGGAGACAAGAGATGACAAGACCAATTACTGGAAGACTAACGACCTCCGCTCCGTGGACAGAGATGCCATCCTTCTTGAGGAAGGGGTTGAAAGAAAGGGGTTGGGGAGGAGGTTTGGTCTATGATGGACGGTCTGTTCGCTGATCGCCCGAGGATATGTGGATCTTTTCTATGTCTAACTATCACAACTATTATAACATGTTTATATGGGTTTTATATATATACATAAATGCCTACATATATAGTCATATGTGTGTGTGTCGTCTTTATTCTTTAAAGATATAAATAAATTTATCATGTTCACCTTTTATTAGGTTACTTATTTGCTATTTATAAATAGGATATAATAATGCTAATCAATAAATAGTTAATTCACTAATAATGAAAAAAAAATAGCAGCCTTTTTCATTTCAAAAAATATACAATAATCAAAATATCTTTGTCGAAAGTAAAGTTGTTATATTTAGTTATATCATACATCTATGTATTGTTTCGACCTTTTTGGCCATTGTTTTGATAAAACGTTTTTACTCTACTATAAATTAATTTTTATTTTGTTGTATAAATTTCTAAGATATATAAAAAAATTGAGTAAATTTTAGAAATTTATACAAAAACAAAAAAAAACCTATAATACCGATAT